TTTCCCATTTTTCACACTGGCCAATAACACAGCAGAGAATCCCCTAGTGCTCAGCAATTGGAAAATGGGGCTTCACAGCTGCTTGTCCGTTTCAGAAAAAGTCTGGACAGTTCTACAAGTGGGTTTTCCCCCTTTGCCTGCTTCCTTACTGGTCCCTTCCATTCAATGGACTAATGCTAAAATGCATGCTCAAAACCTGAACCACGAGGATTTAAATGGAAGGTGCCTGCTGGATGCTACTGTGCAGCTGCAATAGGGCAACTGTGCAATTTTTTTAAAAAAGCTTTGGATGCCACCACCACCCCACGTCAAATGTGACATTCCACCCTGATTTAGAAAAGTGTTGTTGTTTTTTAATTGTAGCTGCAGAATAAATACACCGGAGGAAAAAGAATGGTGCGTAAGGCAGGCACAGAATCTGAAATCAAGATTAAAAGCTTACTGCTCTGAAAATCTGCAGTAAATTGTGTGTGCATAATGGGTCTAACTTTATAGAGGACCAGCAGCAATCCAGTTCTGGCACATCTACCTTGGCCCAGAGCTTAAGAATCCTCACTGGGCATGGGTCAAAGCAATACTTAAATAGTATCAAGTGCATATTTTTAAATCGTAAAAATATACCAAAAGGCAGACCTGGTAAGGGGCGATGGTTATTTTAATAGAAAATGTCAAGTGCAATTCACAGATCTTCTTCAGAGGGATTTAGTTCCACAATCAAACCGACAAATGTGTTTATTGAACTGTTAAATAAATTCTCCCAGTAGATAATCAGTGAAACATACTGGTAATTTCCTATTAAGTAAATATTGTATTTTGCTGACTAACCATTTTTTTTTCTGATGCTTCCCCCTGCCCCAGGTTCATATCTCTCAACACCAAAACAAATCTGCAGGCTTAAATCTAGTTTTACAGGCTTTCAACTATATACATAATATTTTTTTCCAGACTGGTATCACATCTGGATTTAGGAGTTACTTCTGCGGGAGAAGACTGCCCTCTCATATGCCAGTCGTGGGTGAAGATTACAAACACAAAACAGAAGGTTTAACTACTGTGCACAAACATGTAAAACTTAAAATCACTTATCTATTCATAGCAGGGCAAGCTACTAGAACTGGTTTTTCAGGATTAGGGTGGAGAAGATTCTTTTCAAACCAATTAATCCCTAAAATTGTCAGTAGCATGGAATCAGAGAGTTGCCGTGTCACATTTTTGAGCGGTGAAAATTCTGTTTTCCCTTACACACTAGACAAAAGTTAATTGTTCCTGCACAGTGCAATTTCGGTACAATTCCTAATTAGTAACAGAGAAACGCTTCCTTATTAAAATATGTCTTCTTTGTTGCAACATCATAACAGCAGTTTATCAATGCCCTCCATCTCCAAATAGTTTTTGCTTCCTTTGTTTTATGAACCCATTTTTAAAAAGATATAACTCCTGGGTTTTTGAAAATTGGCCTAGAAAAAAGGTGAGAAGTGAGCCCCCGCACGAGCATACCTGTGAGAAGATTACATACTTCTCCTTCCAGACTGATTGGGCCTTACAATACCATTCACATTCTTAAACACCCCACAAAGCAATTTAGGGTTTTCTTGTTTTTTTAAAAAAGCACACAGTTGAATTATGCAAAAAAAAGCTTTTCAAAAGTCCGTTGTGATTTTTGAAAGCCCAGCATTTGCAAAGTACTTTTGGGAAGATTTCTCAGAACCCCTGCTCACCCCGCCCACAGCAGTGGCATGTAAAATAGACCGATGAGGAAAAGATCATAAAGGTATTCCCCCTCGAAATACGCCTCGAGTTTGCTCCTGTAGATAAAATCACGACTTCTCGGTCACTTGGCATATCAATAATCCCAACCTGTATTAAGTCGATGCTTACCTTCTTATACAATGAACAAGGCACTCCGGAATCTGGCCCCTGGTGCTTACGGCTGTGCACTTCGTCTTACAAGAGAGCAATATCGTCCTCCATCTGAGAGTTTTAGCAGCTTCCCCGACTTCTCCACCAGCGTCTGAGTCACTCAGGGAGGAGAAGGGAGGTGTGGTAGAGGGAGTTCACCTTCCACAAATTCCAATTCAGTTAAAATCCACTTGTAGTTTTTGCTTTCTGGTACTTGGATCTTTCCTGTGATAGAGAACCGGGCTGGGGCAGAAAGAAAGAAAGAACAACAACATAGAAACATCTAACAGGTTGTCATGGCTTTTTTTAAAAAACGACGACTCTCTTCTTTCTTGCTAAACATGCCCGGCCACAGAACTGTCACCATGTAATATGCCGACCTTCTGAGTAGTGAAATTAATGTCTATAGTGTTGTTGTTTTTTAAGGACAGGTAAGTCTAATTTCCAGTCTACTAATGGGGTGGTAGGATCCTGAGGTGACAGAATGAGCCGTGCCACTTCAGGGTGCAGGTGGAAAGAACACCTTTGTAATATTCCCTTAGGATTACCAGTTTTTAAACCGGTCCCTCTAGCTGTCCCTTTAATATCAGCCTGATCTGCAAGCAATTACCAGGCGATGTGATTTACCGTCATGCCATGGAAAAGCTTCGACTGCTCATTTCCACTCATTGCACTTCGACTAGAGGGACAAGATTTCTTTTTTTGTCCTGTCCAGTTGGCAACCTCAGTGCCCCCCCCCCCGTGAAAAGACTCCCTGTAAATTGACCACGTCAGAGAGAAAGCACGTAGCCTAACCTTTTACAGGTTGGGCTAGCTCTCCACTTAAATGGGGTTGTTAACATGAGGGGAATTTGGAAAAAGGAAATCACAAAATGCTGGGAGGTTCCAAACCAAGCCTCCTCTCCTACAATGGGAGCAGCAAACAGTGCTCCTTGAAGATCTAGCAGCGCTGCCAGTTGGGGTCTTCTGGCTTTTTGCAAGCAAGACTGGCTTTTTGCTTTGGGGAAGGACAAAGTGGGTGCCAAGAAACATGCTGGCGGACCACACGGTGCCCATGGGAGCCATGTTGGGGAATCACTGCATTAAATTGATCCTAAACTGCTTGACAAGCTTCAACTTTATGGTTTATTATTAGATACGGATGCTTTTATACTGACGTTATGCAGTCTCTTGGGAACACTGTGTAATCGCGATAGATTGGACATTGTGCTTTTCTTGTAGGTGACCAAGATCACTTGATAGATCCCCCTGGCACTTGGAACTTTTAACCTGCCATTCTAAACCCAGTTCACCAACCACATATTGCAAGTTTAGAAGCTCTTGACAAGCCCCTTCTTTAAGCCTGATAAACCAAGAAGTTTATTTAATGTATTCTTCAATCCATCTGTAAAGTCTTGACCCTGTGTTTTCGAAATTCTCCTCTTTTTGTCCTTTCAACAATAAAGTTAATTTGTCTATCTCGGCACTTTCCACTAATTTATTTATTATTTCTTCTTTCGGATGGTATCTCTTTTCTTTTCCAGTATTTAGCATACATCATTCTAGCAGTTGTTATTACATGTATAATCAAATAAGAGACCTGTTTTTTTACTATTTTCTGCAAGTATATTCAATAAAAACAATTCTGGTACAAAGGGTGCATACAACCGAAGCAGAATACCATTAAGGCATAATAACAAGGTTATTGACAGTAATAAGTGCAAAACTATGTATTGACATGTTAAGGTGCAAAAAAGCTATTTTTGTTTGGTGAGGAAAAACTCAAGAGCAAGGCTCCCTCTAAGCTTTGGAGTCTTGTGAGCAAAAATTCTACTTTGTGGGCTACTGGCATTAAAGTGGTGAGTGAACGATTTGGCTTCTGCATAAATCAGTTTGCTCTGGAGCCATCCTGCCTGAGCTGAGACAAAAATGTGTGAGCTGGAGGCTAAAAAACTGTGAGCTAGCTCACACTAACTCAGCTTAGAGGGAACACTGCTCAAGAGATACTTAATGGTTTAGATTCTCCCAGTCTATGTGTTGTTTGTAGTTTGGTTTTGTCTTTGTTGTTGTGTTTGTTTGTTGTTGTTACAAAAAACCCAAGAAGTTTATTTGAACTGCTAGTAGAACACATAGGGTTGACAGGTCCCCCCTCTCCAGGCACCAGCAGCGGATTGGGAGGCGGGGTTATCAGATCCAGCCTGGGAAACTCCTGAAGATTTGGGGGTGGAGCCTGGGGGAGGACAGGGACCTCAGTGGGGTGCAAGGCCATAGAGTCCACCCTCCAAAGCATCCATTTTCTCCAGGGGAACTGATCTCTGTAGTCTGGAGGTGAGCTTTAATTCCTGGATATCCCCGGGTCCCACCTGTAGGCTGGCAACCCCTATTAAATGTTCAGCACGGTGGTTATGTAGGACTGCTTTAAAGAGGTGGTTTAGAACTAGCTAGAAGTGCAAAAGAACCTACTATGCACAGCACACCCTTAGGTGGGGCAGCTTCCAGGGCATGGGGCTCCTGGTGGGGCCCATACTGACCCCCCCCCACTCCCACACCTCCCCTGCCACCTGCCTGCACGCCCTTTCGCATCTCTTTACTTGAAGGGCAAGATAAGAGGCCTCTCGAGCCCCCATCATAATGATTGCAAATAGACTCAGAATCTGAAAACAAGGGACAAGGAGGAGCCTTTGCTTCTAAGAGTTTCTATCCTCTCTCTGACCTGGACGTATCTAAACCACTGGATCGTAATGTTACTATTGCTTTGCTCAGCTGCTCTTTAAAAAAATTAGTTTTGAGATGGACCTTTGCTGTGGACTCCAGCAAAATCCAGCCTGGTTTCTTGTCCAATATGATCAAAGACGATTTCAAAACTTTTCAGTTCTCTGTGTTGTCGTCCCTTTCTTCCCTTGCCTGGGCAAACAATAGCTATTGTTCACTGTCATATAACTGCAGGTGTCATCTAGAGGCAGAACAAGTTTGGAGTTCCCATACGCAACTGAGTGATTCACACGTTACAGAGAACACAAGTTAGGTCTGGAGTCCCCACCTTGCGTAACAGTGGCACATGAGTTGTGGGTTTTCCTCAGTCCTCATGCATGCAGTGCCCAGTTTGGATCACGACTGTGACAAAGCATGGAGAAAGGGCTTAATCCTCCCCACATGCGGTTTTCCTGACAGTAAAGGTCCTGGCCAGTCCGACACATGGGTTTCCCCAACAGACCAAACAGTACCCCCATATGGACCATTTAAGGTCAGGAAAATGGTGTGTGGGGTCACTGGATGACCGTGGAGCATCACTACCTTTCAGCCTAATCTATTTCATGGGTTTGCCACGAGTTGGATGCCACCAAACGTGAAGCTAAAATGGGGAGGGGAGAGAAACGATATCTGCCCGGAGTTCTTTTGGGGAACCGGCGGGATACAAATGTGATGAATAAATACTCTCCAAATCTATTCTTGATTTTAAGAAGCTGCAAGTGATTAGTACAACTCAAAAAAACAGCAGTAAATAAAACTGTGTTTACATTCTTCCACACAGTGATGTGTCACCGAAACTTATCGCTAGCTGGTTCAGTACACAAATGTGGTCAGTTGTACTACAAACGTCTCCATTTCTACAGACTTTTCTATTCCAGAGCATTAAGTGATACTACTGAGCACACAGAGTCAATGTTCAGCAGACTAGCTACATTGGAATCCAATAGCACCTTAGGGACCAACAAGACTGGGGGGTTATGTGCTTTCAAGAGTCAGTTTGGTGTAGTGGTTAGGAGCGCGGGCTCTGATCTGGGAGAACCGGGTCTGATTCCCTTTCTCCTCCACATGCAGTTGCTGGTGAGACCTTGGGCAAGCCACAGTTCTCTCAGAGCTGTTCTCTCACAAGCAGTTCTCGAGAGAGCTCTCTCAGCCCCGCCTACCTCACAGGGTGTCTGTTGTGGGGAGGGGAAGGGAAAGGAGACTGTAAGCCGCTCTGAGACTCCCTTGGGTAGTGAAGGGCGGGGTATAAATCCAATCTCTTCCTCTCTTCTTCATCAGACACCTCCCTTTGACTCTCGAAACCGCATACCCTGAAAATCTTGTTGGTCTCTAAGCTGCCCCTGGGCTCAGATCCAGCTGTTGCACTTCAGACTAACATGGCTGCCCTCTGACACTGAGTTCAGTACCCAAAGTTCTGCTGAAGCACGCACAGAACTGCTGTCACGTACAGCCCTTCCTCTTGTCCTGACAAAAGACTTCTTAATTGCCGTGAAACTAGCTGAAGCACCAAGCCAGGCATTTTGTAGGTGCCTATAAAGGTCTTCAAAGGAGCTGCGGTGGCTCAAGTGGTTAAGACGCTGAACTGCAGGCTGTGGAAGGTCGGTAGTTCAGCAGTTCGAGACCCGAGTGTGTGCCGCATGACGGGGTGAGCTCCCGTCTCTAGTTCCAGCTCCTGCCAACCTAGCAGTTCGAAAGCAAGAAATTGCAAGTAGATAAATAGG